AACATCACCTTTATTTCAAAGAATCAGAAATATTATTATTATTCTAAAGTCCTGTGTGTGACTCTGTGTGTGACTTGGTGTGTGTGACTCGGTGTGTGTGACTCTGTGTGTGACTCGGTGTGTGTGACTCGGTGTGTGTGACTCTGTGTGTGACTTGGTGGTGTGACTCGTGTGTGTGACTGTGTTGACTCGGTGTGTGTGACTCGGTGTGTGTGTGACTCGGTGTGTGACTCGGTGTGTGTGACTCGGTGTGTGACTCTGGTGTGTGTGACTCGGTGTGTGTGACTCTGTGTGTGACTCGGTGGTGTGTGTGACTCGGTGTGTGTGTGACTCTGTGTGTGACTCTGGTGTGTGTGACTCGGTGTGTGTGACTCTGTGTGTGACTCGGTGTGTGTGTGACTCGGGTGTGTGTGTGACTCGGTGTGTGACTCGTGTGTGTGTGTGTGACTCGGTGTGTGACTGTGTGTGTGACTCTGTGTGTGACTCGGTGTGTGTGACTCTGTGTGTGTGACTCTGTGTGTGTGACTCTGTGTGTGTGACTCTGTGTGTGTGACTCTGTGTGTGTGACTCTGTGTGTGACTCGGTGTGTGTGACTCGGTGTGTGTGACTCTGTGTGTGACTCGGTGTTTGTCCCTCAGGTCATTGGGGAGGATTTCATCACTGACTTGAGTCAACTCAGAAAACTCAACGACTTTGTGGACGACAAACATTTTCTACAAAACATCATGAAAGTCAAACAGGTGAGTGACAGGTGAGGGGCCGACGGGTGAGGGGCCGACGGGTGAGGGGCCGACGGGTGAGGGGCCGACGGGTGAGGGGCCGACGGGTGAGGGGCCGACAGGTGAGGGGCCGACAGGTGAGGGGCCGACAGGTGAGGGGCCGACAGGTGAGGGGCCGACAGGTGAGGGGCTGACAGGTGAGAGACGCGAGTTTCTTTCTATATATTTTTTAAATAAAAGCTTCTAATTGGAAAAAATTACACTAATTACTAAAAACTAAATATATATAACAATGATAATGGTAACACAAACTGCACCTGTACTTGTACTTGTACTTGTCCCTCTGTAAACGTGTACTTGTACTTGTGTAATCGTGTACTTGTACTTGTACTTGTCCCTCTGTAATCGTGTGTACTTGTACTTGTGTAATCGTGTACTTGTACTTGTACTTGTCCCTGTGTAATCGTGTACTTGTACTTGTACTTGTGTAATCGTGTACTTGTACTTGTACTTGTACTTGTGTAATCGTGTACTTGTACTTGTACTTGTGTAATCGTGTACTTGTACTTGTACTTGTGTAATCGTGTACTTGTACTTGTACTTGTGTAATCGTGTACTTGTACTTGTACTTGTGTAATCGTGTACTTGTACTTGTACTTGTGTAACCGTGTCCGTGTGTGTTTCAGGAGAACAAGTTGAAGTTCTCTCAGTACTTGGAGCGAGAATATCGAGTCAAAATAAACCCGTCGTCCATTTTCGACGTCCACGTGAAACGAATCCACGAGTACAAGAGACAAGTCCTCAACTGTCTGCACATCATCCACCTCTACAACCGTGAGTACACGCAGTACTACTACTACTACTACTACTACTACTACTACTACACTGTCTGCACATCATCCACCTCTACAACCGTGAGTACTACAGAGTACTACTACTACTACTACTACTACTACTACACTGTCTGCACATCATCCACCTCTACAACCGTGAGTACTACAGAGTACTACTACTACTACTACTACTACTACTACTACTACTACTACTACTACTACTACTACTACTACTACTACTACTACTACTTACTGTACTGTGAGTACTACAGAGTACTACTACTGATACTGCAGTAAGTCTCTGTAGGTTCTAGTTCTAAAAGTTCTTCTGTGTTTGTTTGTGACCTGGAGCCACAGAAACAGAATGTTCCTGAAGTTTTTTTTGACCTGTAGCAGTGGAAGTTTTTTTTGACCTGTAGCAGTTTTGTAATTGAAGTTGTGGCCTCGCCCCAGATGCGCCTGAAGCGAGTCTCAACAACGTCCAAATTCTCCTGTGTCATTAAACCAGAGTCATAAAAGGAGCTGGAAACTTCCACCTGGGAAAACGACTCGACTCGACTCGACTCCGACCTGAAGCTTTTTGTTTTCTCTCTTTGTCTTTTGTCTGGATGACGTCACATTTTAATATCCAGGTTATGTAATGTTTGATTGACAGTTCAAGTGTTTGTTGTTGAGAGTTTCACACACACAGAATCATGTGAAAATCAAACTCCTGCTTCAGTGACGTTTCAGCCTCATGAAAGAAACTGAGTCTAGAAAAACACTTTTTAAAAACTTTGGTGTTGAATTTGAGCCGTGAGTTTGTGTTTGTGTCGTGTTTTTTAACAGTTTAAATCATTTAGTTAAATACAGATTATTATTTTTCCTAAACTGAAGTTCTAGATCAGGTGTGTCCAAACTGTGGCCTGGGGGCCAAATGCGGCCCTCAGATAAATGTTTCTTGGCCCT